GGATGCGCATGTGGCTGAATAGACCCATGCGATGCGTGAAGGTGCGAGGGCAGTGTGGACAGGTGTAGTCCTGATCCTCATCACTGGAATCGGGAGAGGTGGGGGTGGTGGCGGTTATTGTGTCGGGGTTGGTGATGAGTGAGTCGGCAGTCTGAACGGCCGCCGCTGTGGCAGTGGAGGAGAAGGAGGAGGATGGAAGTGGTGGCGTCTATGGAGTCTCAGAGTTATTTGGCGGAAGAGAGCACGAGGAATAGGCGGGCGAGGGGACGATGGCTGGGGCAGTTCGAGAGGTGCAGTTGGTTCGGAGATGTCCAACAAGTCCGATTCGTGCCCGGAATGTCCGTTGACATCGAGGACATGTAGGGAGAGGTTGTGCGGCGGCGTTGCATATTGGGCGAAGTTGTGATTTGCGGGCTTCCCGTTTCGCTTTGGCGGCGGCGATTCGGTTGGCTTCATAGATAGCAGCGCCCGTCTTCACTGTTCTCCTCCATGTCGGACGATCGCGGGCGAGCTTTTCCCAGTTGGTCGGGTTCATGTGCAGGCGCTTTAGGGAGGACTTCAGAGTATCCTTGTAACGGCGAATTTGGCCTCCTTGACGACGAGAACCCGTCGCGACGTCTCCGTAGAAGAGTCGTTTGGGTAGTCGCTCGTCATCCATGCGCACCAGGTGGCCGCTCCAGCGCATCTGCATTTCTTTCAGTATGGCGTAGATGCTTAGAATTCCCGTTCGTTCCAGTACTTCCCTGTCGGGGATTCGATCCTGCCAGTTCAGTCTCAGGATGCGACGAAGACAACTGAGGTGGAAGTGGTTCAGTCGGCGTGCCTGTCTCGTGTTCACCGACCATGTCTCTGCTCCGTACAGTAGCGTCGGCAGGATGACGGCCTTGTACATCTTCAGCTTCGTGCGCAGTTGGAGACCGTGTCGATTCCAAACTGTGCTTCGGAGGCGACCGAAGGCTTGACTGGCTTTCGAGATCCTGTTGGCGACTTCGTCGTCGATCTTGGTGTTCCGGGAGAGCGTGCTGCCCAGGTACGGGAAGTTCTCTACCACTTGCAGTTGGGTCCCATTCACGTTGATTTGCGGCGCGTTGGGGGCTGTGGCTAAGTCGGGAGGCGGCTGATGCATCACCACCGTCTTCTGCGTGTTGATAACCAGCCCAAAGTTCTCGCAGGCGGCGGAGAATAGGTATATGCTCCGTTGCATCTCCTCTTCCGAGGTGGTGTTCAGGGCGCAGTCGTCGGCGAAGAGGAGTTCGTGCACGGTAGTTGTGGATACGCGCGATTGGAAGTTCATGCGCCGTTGATTCAGGAGATGACCGTCCGTTCTATAGGCGATGCGGATTCCAGGGCGTTCGTCGCGGAAGGCGTCCATCAGCATGGCAGAGAACATGAGACTGAAGAGGGTAGGCGCCAGCACACAGCCCTGTTTCACTCCATTGGTCACTGCGAATGCCTCTGAGACAGCTCCCTTGTCCGTGACTCGCGCCATCATACCGTCGTGCAGTTGACGCACCATCTGAGTGAATCGCTCCGGACAGCCGAATTTCTGCATGATCTTCCACAGTCCTTCACGATTCACCGTGTCGAAGGCTTTCGTCAGGTCCACGAAGGTAGAGTACAGGTGGGTCCGCATCTCCTGGCACTTCTCCTGAAGTTGGCGGGCGGCGAAGATCATATCCGCGGTCCCCCGATGACGACGGAAGCCGCATTGGCTTTCCGGCAGAAGGCCCTGTTCCAGATGGTTGTTGAGGCGGTTGAGCAGGATGCGAGCGAAGATCTTCCCGGCGATGTTCAGTAGGGAGATGCCGCGGTGGTTGTCGCAGACTTGGCGACAAGGGCCACACAAGCCCTTAAGATGCAGAATATATGCACCTGCTTTCGACAGCCGCGAGTGACGTAGCTACCTCTTCCAGTCGTCCTCTCCTTTCTAGCCAGTATTCACATTTGTTGAGTTGTCCTTGGTTGTAGATTTCGTTGTGGCATTTGAGTCGGTGTCAGCGCCCAACTACGAAATAGCTGAGCTTTTGTGAGAAATTTGAAGGCCAGTTTTTATGGACAACTAGCAGAATTTCTGATTGGTTTATCTCCGACCAAACGTAATAATTTCAGGCTTGTCAAAGAAGCTTTCTCGAATAAGCCCAAGACCGATTCCAATTGAATTATACAAGTCTTACATGAGAGCTTGTAATGCGACTCTGGAATTCATACTGCTAATGACGCTGGAATTTCTTTTGATCACCAGATTATAAAGTAAACATGCATTTTGGAGGGAGAAGGCGCGATCGCTGGCTGATGGGGCACGGGAATATGGACGTCCCGTATGAAAGGTGGCCTTGCGTTAAATTCCAGAAGGATTAGGGTTACGGT